ATCTTTTTGGGAGCCTCTTATTATCTATACGGATCTTGTACCACCCGGTACCTCATTTCTGCAGCTGTTACTTTGCTTTTGTGCTTATCCTGCATTGGCAAAGTTTCCGTATTGGTGATTTCCTGTCTTGTGCAATAAGACAAGTCCATTGGTTTCTTGTTCATATTCTTCGCATTCTTTTATTGAACACATAAGTATTGCCATGAAATATCATGTTTGGTTTACAATCAATTTTTTGTTTTCTCTGAACAGTAATTTCAGACTTCATGTGGACTTTGAACAATGTAATTCCTGTTTTTTGCTAAAGTCTAGTTTATAACTATTGCAATTGCAGACTTTTTCTTGCAAATTAACCTTCTGACCAGAGTATTCCCGACTATTCACTTAAATTTGGTTTTTCACCAGTATAATTCTTAAATGTTTGCTGAAGTATGGATATTTCTTTGATTATATATTTTGAGGTTGCCTTAGCAAGCCGAGGTCCTTTGTGGCCGAGGCTCAACTACAGTGTGTTAATTAATTATCGTACCCGACGTCATTATTGGAAGTATGCAACCAATACCACAGTACTGGTATTGCAATACGCAAATCGCGTACAAATCGCGTATACTGTGATATTGGTTGCATACTTGTAATGATGACCTCGGGTACGATAATTAATTAACACACTGTAGTTGAGCCTCGGCCACAAAGGACCTCGGATTGCTAAAGCAACCTCATTTATTAATAAAAATGTTAATAAAAAAATTAACAATTACCGAGAAAATAATTTCATTTTCGTTAAAACCGGATGTACTTTTTAAACCATACCTTCTTTATATTCTTGTAGATTTTTTTTTTTTAATTTCGAGTACATTAATGAGATCGTTCTTGGATAATTTATGAACCGAATAGGGTTGGTCGAGGTGGAAAGAACACCTGAGGAAATGAATTCACACCTTGTCAAGATTTTTAATATTTCAACTCTCGCGAAGTTAGCTCACAAGCACTTTTCCCGCTCGACCCTTCTTCTCACTTCACCTCACCCCGCTCCTTTTTTTAAGACCCACGATCAAAATTTATTACCCTCCGGGAAATTTTCCCCATTCTCGAAATAGAGTTTGTCGTAGCTTTTATTGCAAAAACTTTAAAAACTACTTTTGCACCTCAACCAACTTCCGTAATTACTGTATTACTTTTTGGAGCGTTCTATTTTTTAAAAGTTTATTAGATCATTACTATTTATAAATTTCCATTTTTCTTTACTCATTTAACGGAATTACAAAAACGATTCGATGATATCTTACCGAGAATGACGAAACAAGGTCGATACGTCATAGAAAATGAAATCCTTTTAGACTGAGAACGACTGTGGGACTGTGGCCTCTCTCCAAAGCGAAAACCTTCGATCCGATTTAATGACGTCACCTTGTATCGTGTCAAGTCAAAGCAAAAATAGTCTTCAATAAGCAACCGTACAGTGCTGTTTGTTTTCCGGGCTTAATAAAAGCAAAAATTGGTTAATTTAAAAACACGTAGGTGAGTTAATTAGTACGTTTTGATTCTTTGCGGTGACGCATTAGATTTAGAAGGAAAAAATTTAATCTCTTTCTTGAGAGGTTATCGATGTTGTTATGAGTTTATATATAACTCTTGGACATGCAATGCATCATTTTACCATTTTAATTCGTTTTTCCTTGTATTATTCTTTTTTAATCAGAAACCCAAAAATTAGATCATTTAAATTTGCGCCTCACAAAGTTGTTTATGAATTTTTTCTTGGAAAAACCAAAAATGTGATGACCTTTGTATTATTAATAAATCCGATAACATTTCTTTAAACTCGATTAGATCGATCAAAACACCAATACAGTAAAATATCGAAAATATCGGACCTCGTTAGAATAGACTTCGGATATAAGTTCTAGTTCTAGTGTTAATTCTAGTTTTATTTGTTATTTAACACTAGATTGTTATATATTCAAAACTGCAAAGAAATGTCTAGTATTAGAATGGTAAAAACTTAAACTGCAAAAAGTGTTTGGGGTTGCACTGACAGTAATCTAAACATCAAGAGGAAGAGTGGAGTTATATTGACCATACTCTAAACTACAAGTAATGGTGTGGAATTAAACTGGGCATACTCAAAACTTAAAAAAAATGGTTGAAATAATGGTCGCAAAACTGTAAGCTGCAAGAAAGAAGTTAGAAGATTCAACGAAAAGTCTGGAATTACATAGGCAAAAGCCCAAGTTGCACAGGAATGCACAGAATTGTTGTGGCCATGCTTTAAATTACAAGAAAATGTCTTGAATTATATTGGCCAAACTCTAAGTTTTCAGAAAAAGTCTGGAATCTCACTGGTTATTGCTTAAACTGAATTAGAAAGTTTGGAATCATCCTGGCAAAACTCTTACTGGAAAAGTATTTGTAATAATTCTGACAAAATTTTGAGTTGCAAGAGAATATTATCAAAACTGTACGAAAATGTTTATAATTACACAGGCAAAGTACAAAATAACTAAAGAAATCTGTTAAAGTATTAGACTGCTCAAACTCTAAGTTGCAAGAGGAAGAGCAAAATTTAGATGAGATTACACTAGCTATGCTCTAAACCAGCGTTTCTCAACCTTTTTTTACTCGCGTACCCCCTGACCTATCATCAGTGCTCCACGTACCCCTTCTCTATGATATGCATATTATAATTACTAATATGTACATATAGGTACAGTAATAACTCTATAAGTCTATAACACTGAAATATTTTTATTTCTACCAGTTATTACAAAATAATGCATATTATATACTAATTATACACATTTAGTTAAACTAAAAAATATAAATATGTAAGATGCACATTAATGAGAACCTTGAGGCTGTTTGGAAGCACTCAGTAATTTGAAATCTGGATCGGAAGATGATAAATATAGTCTCAGGTTCGAACTTACACTGGCAAGTCTGTTCCTGTACTTATTTTTTAAATAAGTATAGGACGAAAAAGCTCTCTCCACTAGTACGGTGCTTGTGAACGGTAACAAAATAGTTATTGCTTTGTTAAATAATTCAGGATATTCTTCTTTCAAGTCAGCCCAGAATGAAATGAGGGATTTCTTTTCAAATTCTTGCTTAAGTGAAGAATCCGTTTTCAGTTCGATCAACTTAACTTTTTCTTGAAGTGATAGAGATGCACACTCGAAATACTTTTCACTGAAAGGGTACGCAATCCAGTAATCGTCTGTTCTACGTTTGGGGAAATATTTGTCGAAAGCAGCCTTCAGTCCATTCAGATGTTGTATAATTTGCTTCTTAATTTCTAGAGATACATGAGCATCCGTTTCAGAGAGAAAATCGTGTAATGTTTCAAAAACTTCAGATTGGTTTTTCTCAATACATAATTTCTAACGAAAGACTCAATTTTGTCTGTAACTTGGAATACAGTTACTGCACTGTTTTGAAGGGACAAATTTAGCTGGTTTAATTTCGAAAAGATATCGGACATGTATGCAAGGCTTTGAAGCCATTCATGATCATCAAATTTAAATGAAAGTCGGAAAGGGTGGTTCTCAAGGAACACTTTGACTTCATGCCTAAGTTCAAACAAACGTGTAAGAACTTTACCCCGAGATAGCCATCGAACCTCAGTATGAAGGAGTAGGGTTTTGTGAATACTGCCCATTTCTTGACATAATGAAGAGAATAACCTTGAATTCGTGTGGTGGGATTTGATGAAATTGACCACTTTTACTGAATCGTCCAAAACATCTTTCATACTAGTAGGAAGGCACTTTGATGCAAGAGCTTGTCGATGAATGAAACAATGTGTCCACTGTACTAAAGGAGCTACTGTTTTGACACATCCCAGGAGACCAGAATAACAACCTGACATAGATTTACCACCGTCAGTACATAATCCACAACACTTTGACCACTTTATTCCCTTTTTAGTAAAGTAGGAATCAATGGCATGAAAAATATCTGCACCTGTCGTGCGTTCGGAAAGAAGATGACAAAGCAAAAGTCCTTCTACAAATTCATTTCCTTTCAAGTATCTTGCAATAACCATCAAAACAGCAAATTGTGCTACATCAGTACTCTCATCAACCTGAATGGAAAAATATTGACTGTGATTGATTTCCTTTATCAACGTCTCCTCCATATTATCAGAAATTTCCTTGATTCTACGAGACACAGTATCATTGGAGAGAGGAATAGCATTAATTTTCTGAACATACTCATTACCGAACATGCAAACAACTGCGTCTTTAATGCTGGGCAAAATCAAATTTTCACCAATCGTGTGATTTTTACCATTTCTGGCGATACGGTAACTGATGCGATAGGAGCCCTCAACAGCATCTTCATTGGTACAACCAGAAGTTAAGTACGTGTCTATATTCGACTTATTTTTATTTTCGAGCAAACGCTTTAAAAAGGCCAGACCTTTATCTTTGAAATCTACGTGTTTGGTTTGCAAATGGCGACTAAGTAATGAAGGCTTCATACTACCGTTAGATAGTACTTCCCCACAAACAACACACTCAAGTCTAGGGATGCTATCAATAATTACGAATGAAAATCCATAGGACAAATACTCTTCACTATATTTTCTTACTTTTGTCGGTTGGAGAACTGGAACTGGAAGCTTAATTTCGCTGACACGCGGTAACTTCTCCTTAGGTTGCTCCTCACAAGGACTGGTACTCGATGATGGAGAATCACTTACCAAACCAGTAATTTTTCTTTTTTTAAGAGTGCCAAATTTTAACCATTGATCCATGTTTAAAAAAACAAGTTACAATAATTAGAAAAGTAAGTAGAGCACTCTTCACTTTGAGAGCAAACTGGGAACTGATTCAAAAGAATATTACGATAATAAAAATACAGAGACAGTTCGGGGACCCTTCCTAACACACCAGGATAAATACTGTAATAATTGTTCATCCACCGCTTAGGCTACCCATTGTTAGATGGCGGCGCAAGTAGTTTTTCAAATTATAATTTTATGGTAATGTTTCAAAATTTAAATAAAGTAGGTTTTAAGTTATTGTCGTTTTGTGTAATAAAAATACTCGGCATCATTCAGAAAACAATTACTTATTTTGATTTGTCATAATTAAATGTTATTTGGATGGAAATGCCATTTATTACAACAGCTTTTTATCTTTTCTCTTTACTTAGTCCGCCATTACATCTTTTTTTACGCGTACCCCTTGAGACCATTTCACGTACCCCTGGGGGTACGCGTACCACAGGTTGAGAAACGCTACTCTAAACTACAAGGAAGAGTCAGGAGTTATATTAGCAAAACTAAATTACAAGCAATGTCTGGGATTCCACTGGAAAATGATAAGTTATCAGACAATATCACTATTATACCGACTATAGTCTATGTTGCAAGACAGTTTCTGAAATTCCCCTGTTCATAGTTAGAATTTGAAGGGAAATCCAGATTTGTACTGGCCGTATTTTAAGCAGTCAGAAACTCTAAACTGAACGAAACCGGAATTCCACAGATAAAATTCCTAATAGCAAATAAAATCTGCAATTCATTATTTTAAAGACTTCAAAAGTGAAGAAAAAGTTTGAAGTTAGAAAATTTCGGGATTAGCCGTGCGTTTGAAGACGAAACCTTTCTTTCTAGAACTTTCTAGACCTAGAACGGCTGGGAGGTAGCTCTAGTTAGCATGAAATAGCACTACGTTGCATATATTTATTAAACTAAAACTAACACAAGACCTAGAACTAAAATCATTCGAGTTTGGCCGTCTTGAGAAACGTGTGGCTAAACCCGAATGTTTCTATTTTTTGTTCTATCACTAGAACTAACACAAGAGCTAGAACTAGAATCATTCGAGTTTAGCCGTCTTGAGAGACGCGCTTTCTCTGGAGCACAGCTGCTTCGGTTTATAAATAATGCATTATTGAAAATCTAGGACTATAGACTCGGCTGCCTCAGATTCTAAGCCTGAAGATGCACGGCTAAACCCGAAATTTTCTACTTCTAGGTCTGGTATTAGTCCTCTAAAGGTGGGTCATGCAACGTGTTTTAGTCGTAGTTGTTGGCATAGTTGTAAGAGTGAAAAGTTAACCTTGCGACTAAAATGTAACTTGACGCATGCGCACTTTTCTCTTTTGTGTCCTTATAATTATAGCAGTGTTTTGTTTTATTTTATAAATTGAGGTTAGGTTTTGTATTTTATTGCATTAAGGTTGTTGTGCGTTATTGTTTCGACAATTATTTCAAATGCGGACCAAATTGTTAAGTTGTTAAATTGTCATATTGCCATGTTACACTTCCAATACCGTTAAAATATTCGCACAACAAGTCTCTGTTCTTCTGGAACTTTCTTTCCACATTGTTGCTTCCAACCCGTTCTATATTTTGCAGTGACATTTATAATTTCCCTGACTCCGACTGAAAAGTATCACCATATTGTGGAGGATAGTACCTTTCGCTTTGCTGTTCAATATGAAGGAAGTTATGGAAAACTACTGTGCCAACCCTAGCTATGATTGGCCTCCGTAGAATTCGCCACCGCTGGGAGAGTATACCAAAGGCATTTTCAATGGTCCTCCTTGCCCTGGATAAACGATAGTTGAAAATGTTTTTTTCTAGCCCTAAGTACTGTCCGGGATATGGTCTCATTATATTTTCCATTAGAGGAAACGCCCACAACAAAATGTGGAAGTACAATGTTGCTTCCAGGCAAAATCTTTGGAAAAGAAGATTCTTTAAAGATAGCTAATGCTAAAGATAGCACATACCATTAAAACTGCTGAAGGTATGTGGGAAGAACCCACCTTCCGATGCTTTTGGTGCTTGTATATGGATGTGTTTCCCATCAACCTCGATACAGTTGGGTATGTTCCATCTTTTGTAGAATGTATCTTCAACAAAATCGTCTTCCTCTTTTTCCAACATGTTTCTAATCAGAGTGGCATAATTTCACTCTAATTCTCTATTTTTATTGATTGGTTTTCTACCAAAACGCCGTCGTCTTTTATTTCTTAATCTTTGTGCGATTAATAGAGCTGAATTCAAGCACATTACACTGGCAGCGACAACAATTTTCTTGAGTTATGGCACGAATGTGCTGTGCTTAAATATTGCATGAACCAATCCCTTTCCTTATAACTACAGCTAAAGCAAACGCATGAACCCACCTTAGCCATATTAATTCTTTATATCGAGATTTTACTGTATTTTAGTTTATATTTCTATAAATGTCTTTTAATGTTGAAATGAAGTTATAAAAGCTTAAATGGAAGTAGTGATTAAGAGTTAAAAAATGTTCCCTTTAACTTTAATCATCGGTTCTCTCTGACGAGCGAGTTCGTTCGTTTCTGTTTTTGAGCATTAATGAATTTATGCGATTTAATAATGACTTCGAGGCACGTTTTCCGATGGTATCTAACTCGATTAGGGAATTTCTCTAGTTTCCTCGACGGCAGACACCGCTAATTTCGCGATCCGATAAAACCACCACCCCCCGTCGTCGTCATCGCGAACGAACGTGAGCAGAGAAAAGTTCAAGGGCAATTAAGACGACTCGACGCGTATATATAGAGAGAGATGGCTGATTAAATAAACCTCTACATGTGAGCGCGGGGTTGAACTTAATCAACTAGACCGGAATTGTTCCGGGGACGACGAAATGTTTCAATTAGTGTAATTCACGTCGGGGATGTTGAAAAAGGGGCAAATAAGATGCGAGAGAAGACGATTTGGTTCTATTAAGCTTTAACTGAATAATTCGCGCTGTTTAGCATTTGAAGTACGTGTATCAAACCAACCTTGGTTAAAATTAAGCGGTTCTTTACCAATATTTACTAGAAATGAATTTGAATTCAAATAGTTTGATGACAGAAAGAGCCAAATAACTTTTGGGGATATTCTCAAAGGGACTTGGGTTTGCGGTCGTTTTGTCATAGTTCCAAGTTATGTCAAAAACATTTTACCAGATCAATCTCGAGAACCTCTCGAGCTTTGTCTCAACTCGCCTTCAACTCAAACAAGAACTAATTTCGACGAGTAATTATGTTTGGTCAATACACAAAAAAGAATTGATTAAAATAAATTTATGATTAAATTTATTGATTCTTTTTTTGTTTTCGCGGTGTAGAAGGTAAAATTAAATTATTTCGTAGTTGGTTAACCTCAACGAACCCGCACAACAAGTTCGTGCAAAGAGTACGGCAAACACGGCAACCCCAAGTTAACACGGTCTCGAACCTGCATTGCATAAAGTCCACTGCCGCCTCCCTAACAAACGAGTAACACCGAGTCGCTAGTCAAACAACGGCCCTTTTGTATGGTCGCACCCTTGAGTCATTAGCACTGAAGCGTGGTGACTGTGCACCATTGTTACATGTAAACTACGAACTATTTTCCTTCACAGTTTTCAATTCATTCTCTTTCATTCAGTAATCTTTCATGGAAACTGTTAAAGTTCAAATGTAAATAAAATTAATTTTTATTTTTCATTGTTTTAGACACAAAATGAAGTTTATTCTAGGGTTGTATCTTGTTTGTGTCTTTTTTCAACAAGGATATACATATTCAAGTAAGCATTTTGATTTTAGCCAAATTATTTTTTTATGTATTATTTTTTTTTTAGAATATGGAAGAACTTGCAAAGATATCGGATGTAGCACAAATGAGCAATGTGTTATGGAAGAAACACCTTGTTCTTATTACACAAGAGATAACGAATGTGGAATGTAAGTTTATATTAATTACAAAAATTTATCTTAAAATATTGGGAATTTTTATTTTTCCAAAATGCTTCTGGCATCTGAGACTTGTTTATCATCTTCATTGTACTAGATTACATGTTCTCTAGAGTCCAGAGACGTTTTAGCAATATATCTGACAACCGTAGAGAGAGAGTATGGAATTATTCTGACCATGTGCACTCTTACACTGATCGTTTTAGCTCCCATTTCATTTTCACATGCAAGCGTTTTAAATATAACAGTAAATTTTAAGCTGCGCCATCTATCGTTCATCAGGTGAACCCCCTCTTTTTAGTTTCACTACACACCACCAGATGGCGCCATATGAATTTTGAATTTCAAATTTCCCGCGCTATGACGTTCACCGGATATTTAATTTTACTACCAACGAAACTTTTTTCCCCCAAACTCTGGTTGGCACTCCCTATACTTAAATCGCCGATCTTGCGATCCTTAAGGATCACTTCCGCTCCAGAACTCTCATTACTATATTACTGATGCCTTCTAAAATCAGGTTTCTCTTTCAATAAAAATGTGTAAAGGAAAAAACTATTGGCACGAAATTCGAAAACTATCAAGATACCAAAAGACACCTGGAACGGAGGAGCTCATTGATCCTACCGATGGCGGTGTGCACTCCATCCCTGAAGAGATTGTCAACATACACGCTGACTACCTAGAAGGTGTATTCACCTTTACCGAGGATGTTTCGTTTTGTTCCCACAATAAAAGCATTATAGATAATTGGTACGAATCCGCATTTTTGACACCGTTCGAGACACCCGAAGATGCTCTCATGTTGGAAGACGAATATTTTACTCTTCTTGGACAGGGAAAAGATACCGCTCCCGGTTATGATAACATCACAAAGAAACTGCTTAGAAGTCTAGATCTTAACATCCATGGCTTTATCAGAAAAATAATTAACTTTTGCCTTACGACTCAGCATTTCCCGCGCGACTGGAAGACGTCAATTATTACTTGTATTCCCAAGAAGGATTCTTCTCTATCTGATCCAGCCAACTATCGCCCCATCTCACTGCTCCCCGTAATTGGAAAACTCTTCGAGACGCACTTGAAGAACAAGCTCCTGGCTGCGGTATCAAAGAAAATTCCGCCTTACCAATTTGGCTTCCAATCCGGCAAATCAACGTCCCAGCCACTAACTACTCTGGTTTCCAACTTCCAGGCGGCATGTTCTGTAAAACTGAAATCTGCAGCAGTGTTTCTGGACGTCCGAAAGGTCTTTGACTCCGTGTGGCACAAAGGATTGCTATTTAAACTGGATAAGCTAAAAACGCCATACTACCTTCTAACCTTGATAAACCAATTCCTGTCGAATCGCTCCTCCATCGTGAAGTTGAAAAATCACTTCTCCCACAGCTTCTCTGCTCAGCAAGGCCTTCCTCAGGGTTCGCCTATCTCTCCCTCTCTATACAATCTATTCTGCCACGATCTTTACAACGACAACCCAGACGCCTTTAACCTCACTGCATACGCACTACTTTATGCCGACGACACAGCATTGGTCTCGCACAGTAGGGATTCACTTCCTCGGTCCGTAAGCTGCAGACGCTCATAAACGAAACGGAAAATTGGTACCGAAAATGGCGCATCCTACTCAATCCCACAAAAACACAATTTTTTGTCCCATTCCTCTCACCCCGCGCTCCCTCTCCCACAATTACAATCCAATCAACGGCAATCTCCGTCTCACCAACCTGCAAGTACCTTGGCATAATACTTGACAGAACGCTTAAGTTTTCCACTCATACAACCAAGGTGAAGATGAAAGTAAAGACACGCGCCAAACACTTTAAATCTCTCTCGTTCAGCGGTCGCGGAATCTCTACCCTCATGTGCCTCGCACATCTACAAGACCATATGCAGGCCCATCATAGAATATGGATCAATACTGCTAAGCAACGCACTAAGAAGAACGAAGTACCCCCTGGAAGTAGCGGAAAGATCTGCACTGAGATCCATCACCCGAATTAGGAACCCCCGTAATCCCCTCTTTAACCCTAGCAATGATCTGCTATACCAACTTACCGATATACCCCCTATCCATACCCGTCTTCAATCTTTGTCCGATAAATCCATCCTAAATTTTCCTACCAACGCCTTGCAACACACGCTTATATCGCCTCGATTACTCCACCCTCGCAACAATCCACCTCTTCTCTTCCAAAAACTCCTGGCCGTCAGAGAAGACTGAAGGAAGCCGCCGACTACAAAAATCACGGGCAGAAAGACCTTGGTCGGGCCCTATTCTCACCCCTTAACTTTTTTATTTTTGTTGTATATACATATAGATATTTTTATTGTTATTCATATTTTTTTTATGTAGTGGGTACAGAATAAAATTTGTTTTTCTTCTTCAGGTTTCTCGTGGTCTTGATATTTGAGATATTTGCGGCCGAGGTTCTTTCTTCTGTCCATTTCAAGTGTTCAACTTGACATTTGAAGAAAATGTCTCAAACCAAACCTTACATTGTAAAAGACTCTATCGGACGCTCCTCACTGTTCCAACGCATGATGGTGCCTGAATTTTGTCGGAACAAAACTTTATAGTCCTCCCTCTCGAACGTGACTACTAGAAGTTCAGTACGACATCAACCGACTCAATGGCTCACATTTGAAAAAAAGAAGTTATGTTGTCGCACCCTGTATTACCCCTAGGTATTTAACAGCAGTTTGAGGTTAATAGTTCTGCTTTCAATGGAGGGTGCTTTTATTTGTAGCTTCCTTCTCCTAGTGAAAGGGACTATTTCGATTTTATTTGGATTGATGCTGAACCCATTGCTTCTACACCAAGTTCTGGTGAGTAGTAGGGACTTTCTGCATTAGTTGAGTTATGATTGTATCATATTTACCTCGGATTGTGATTACCAGATCATCAGCATACCCCTGAATCTTGAATCCGTTTTTTGTTAGAGTGTTCATCAAGTCATCAACTACCAGGCACTATAATAGAGGTGATAGCACTCACTCTTGGGACATCCTCTTAGCGTCTTTATAGTCAGCGACTCGCTTCCCAGACTGGCTGTGATCTGTCGACTTTTCAACATGGCTATACACCGTTTGATTCTCGACAGATGTCTTCTCTATGGATTCATAGGAGGTGTTATCAAACGCAACCTCTATGTATATGAAAGCACATAGGGCTATCTCTTTGGTTGCAATAGCCTCCTCTAAAGTGTTAGTCAAAGCATGGAGAGCAGTAATTGTTGATTTTGTCTTCTGGTAAGCATGTTGGCTAAGGTGGAGCGGATTAGTGACAAACACTCCATTCGTAAGGTATTGATCGATTACCTTTTCCATTCCTTTGAGGAGAACTGAAGTTAGGCTAATTGATTTGTATGCCTTGGGGTCGGCTTATATATATTATAAGCCGACGTTATATATAGGGATAGTATTACTGCGAGCAGGTTTTCTAAATAGGTAGAATTCCATCTCCTCCAGGTGATTTTAGGCTTGGTACAGCTTTAAACTGCAAGAAAGTGTTTGGGGTTGCACTGACAATACTCTAAACTACCTCTCATGGTGTGGAATTAAACTGGGCATACGCAAAACTTAAAAAAAAAATTTGAAATTAAACTCGTAAAACTATAAACTGTAAGAAAGAATTTAGAATTATTCTAACTAAACTTTAGATTTAGTAGCTTTCTTTAGACAGGTAAATTTTAAGCTGCGCCATCTATCGCTCGTCAGGTGAACCACCCCTTTTTAGTTTCGCTACATACCACCAGATGACGTCATATGAATTTTGAATTTCAACTTTCCCGCGCTATGACGTTCACCGGATATTTAGTTACTTTTACTACCAACCAAACTCCCTATACTTAAAGAAAAGTCTGGAATCACATAGGCAACAGCTCTCGTTGCAAGGGAATGCACAGAATTGTTCTGGGCATGCTATAAACTACAAGAAAATGTCTTGAATTACATTGGCTAAACTCTAAGCTCCCAGAAAACGTCTGGAATCTCATTTGGTATTGTCTAAACTGAAGGAAAAAGTTTGGAATAATTCTAGCAAAACTCTAACTTGCTAGAGAAAATTCAGAATTACACTGGACGTACTCTAAACAACAAGAAAATGTTTGATATTGCGCTGACCAAGCTCTATGCTGGAAGAGATAGCCTGGAATCTCACTGACCACTCTATAATCTGTACAAAAAGATATTCCAAAAACGTCTGTAATACTATTGTTCAAACATCTGATTTGAAGAAATTGATTGAAATAAGACTGACAAAACTCTAAGTTGCAAAAGAAAGCCTAAATGCCTAGAATATAGTTTTGGCAAATATTTTGTTTTATTGTTTATTAATTTAATTTTATTCTTTTTAGGTACCCAACTTGCAAAAGAATCAGCAATTCCGCTCCAACATGTGCAACATACATTTGCCCACCAACAAAGAAATGCATCGTAGACGGAAGCACACCAAAATGTGTCGATGATGCAAACGCCCACACGCGTAAGTACAAAAATTTCTTCACATAACACGTTCTAAATTTTCATTTTTAGCTGATAATCCTAAGGTGCATCAAACCCTTCAAACTTACAATAACAACGATGAAAATCCGAATGCACCCTCAGCACCTCAACCAGCTTATCCAGTAATTCCCGGGCAAACCACCACAAGGAGTCCTTATAGAAGACCTCAAAGTGGTGGTAGTGGAGGGTATTCTGGGGGTTCTATTGGGTCTGGTTATCCGGGTGGGAATCAAGGATCTGGGTATCCTACTCAACAAGGTGGATATCAACCACAAGGTGGATATCAACCACAAGGGGGATATCAACCCCAAGGTGGATATCAACCACAAGGGGGATATCAACCCCAAGGTGGATATCAACCTCAAGGTGGTCAAGGTTATTATCAAGGTGGTGGTGGTTATTATCAACCAGGTTATCAAGGTAAATTGATTAATAATTTTTTTTTTTAAATATTAATTCTTTGTTTTAGGTGGATATCAACAACCTGGTTATCAGCAACCAGGATATGGACAAAATCCTTATGGTCAACAACCTCAAAAGCCAGCTAAAAGCGGTTCTAATCCTTTAATTGATACATTAAAGGGTACTTTGACGAATATTGGTACGACTTTCCTTAAGAATGCTTTATCAAATATTAAATTAAATTAAAATGTTTACTTTTTTTTGTTACAGGGCTATTCTGTCTTATGTTTTTATACATTTTACAGTCTTAATTTGGTGCTAATAAATTTTTTAAAGATTTTAATAAATTTATTCTCTTAATCTGTTCATAAAATAATAAAAATGTGGATGGAGTATAAAGGTAGGAAATAGTTTTCATTTTTGTTTGGCGTTTCCTGGTGTTGGCTACACAAAAAAATCCATTTTGCACTGGTTGTTTTTCTGCTTTTAACAAGACAGAATAGCCTATTATTTTTTTTTTAGTTAAAAGTTTTATTTTTTTACTAACCTAGTTTTGTACATAATAATACTCAATGTGTTAATAATAAATAGATTTAAGTTGAACAACGAGGTTGTTTTTGATTCGTCGCGCATAGTAAATTGGGAGAGTTTCAGATTTATCGTGCCTTCAGTCGTTCGTGATGTGTTTTTCGAAGACAAACTGAAAAAGTGGAACCTTCGTGTACCACGTGCGCCTACTTTCACATCATAATTCTCGGTAGCGACCCGTCATCTCGACCTGCGTCCCAACTTAGCCGCAATACTGCTCGCATAAATCACCCACAAATGTTACCAACTTTGCGCCCATATCGCGACACCTGGTAACAACAACGAAGACGGCTTTCATCTTGGCCAAAAATAAGATAAAAAAAATTGTACGTTATCAATATTTTCTCGTCTTGAGGAAGTTTTTGTCACGACTTGTCGTTGGGGGTTTAGGTTAATGGGGTTAAGGTTCTGTGGGGAGCCCGGGGCGCTACTTTGTCTCTTTCCAAACTAATGCACTGCGGTTGGGTCATGTTGGATAAAAGGAGGACGTTTGCGAGATGTTCAATTTTCGTGTCTCGGTTTCTTAACGAATTCTGAGATATTAGTTGTGATCAAAATAATGAAAATACAGTAAAACCTCGATATAATGGACAAAATATTTTTAAGTTATGGGTCATTCTCAGAAGGGCTAAAAAAGAGTCCCTTCAATATCAAATCTTATAAACTGAGATTATTACATTCATTCGAGCAAAAAGCTATGTGGTGAGACTCTTAGTATCACTTCATTAAGTTACATTAAAGTAACAAATATTTTATGTACACAAAATTCAAAAATTTTTAAAAGTTGGTTTGCACTTCATTAAACATTCAGGTGTCCTTCTGGTAAAGTTACAACTAAAACTATTTCTAAATCGGAAATAAACTAGTTAGTATTATATTATTTTATTACTCTTTTTTGTATTTGGGGTAATTAACAAATAGATTTGGGGATGGTTTGCAATTTCTTATAGATTTTGGTTTTAAATTAATCTCGAAAATGTTGTGTCTCTCGTTTTAATCTCAACTCCGTTACCACATCTTCTAATATAAATATTCGTGTCGCCATGGTTACCCGGCTCATTGTAAACACTTCATAGGGAAGTGCGAATGCGACAAAAATACAGTGACCGTTCTGCACTACAATAAAAAGGAATTAATAACATACATGAAATGGGTTAACAAATCAGTACAGGTAGTGGTCAAGGGGAAAATAAAGTTTTGTATAAGAACAATGAAAGAAAAGCAAACACACCAAGTAGTTAAAGAATTGATACAATGTATTTCCAGATATATGTTGCACCTCAGGAATATATCCCATCAATATCGGTGTATATATGTAGTGAAGAAGAATCTGTCTGTTGATGAAATCTTGATCCACATGGATTTTTCTAAAAATTACTTCTGTAAATATACTGAAAAAGTACAATCTGCACACCTTGGCTCTTCAAAGCTTCAGATATCTCTTCATACCTTAGTTGTATATTAAAAGCATCCGCACAATAACTCAACAGACAGAGAAAAATAATTACACGAATTTTTTTCTTATAAACCCTTTTTCCACTCTTTCTGAGAATGACCCTTATACTATTTATTTATTTACACACACGGGGGTAGCAACAGGATACAGACCCACATAAAAGCTACTCCACTGTAATACATTTTATATACAATAAATTGTATGAACACAAAATTGAAAATCGATCAATTAATTATTAATGGCTTTAAGCATATGTGATCAAATCAATTCAAGGCAAAACTCAAGCCGCTGCAATGAGATAATGTACTTAAAATCACACTGTTAATTCAAACTGTTAGGGCGAGCACGGTATTACGAATAATTTGTTTGAAGTTGTGCGGCGTGACAGAATATGTCCAACCCAAGACGGTCCACTGTCCTCTCCTTGCGAAGTATTGGGGAATTTCTATACGAATTTGTCCGGGCAGTCGGCGCGTAGAACAGAAAGTCATAGCGCAGCCGACGAGGGGGAACATGCAGATCAATGCGTGAAAGAAGATAGGAAGATATAATACTATTAACGAAAGCATTGTATAAAGAAATAATAGGTCTAGGGCAGTCTAGGGTCTTTAATAGTGTCAACACAATCCAGTAAGCATGTTCCGCACCGGTAATCGAATTTAAAGAACTGCTTTTTTCTCGTAAAAGTAACATTCCGACACTTCGACATGTTAAGTGACAAATTATTAATCTCACAAAAATCATAAAATCTGTTCAGCTCACTCTGAAGGTTAACACAGTCTGAAACAGCAGCAACAGGAGAAAATATTTTAATGTCGTCAGCATACATAAGTCATCTTGAGGTAAGAAAAGACCTGGTGATGTCACCTATGTACACCGTAAATAAGAGCGGGCCGAGATGACTACCCTGAGGCACTTCGGAAGACATGATAACAGGACCGGAAGAATATTCACCAACCCCTACCACCTGCATCCGATTGGAGAGGTACGAAGCAAACCAGCTCAAAAGGACACCTGTGACACCAACACGCTCCAACTTCAACAGTAATAACAGTGATCCACTTTGTCAAAAGCTTTGCTAAAGTCAGTGTATATCGCATCTACTTGGATGTTTTTATCAATAGTCGAAAAAAGAAAGTCGGTATGAGTCTATATAATATATTATTGTTCAAAACCTTGAACTACTGCCTCGGCAGTATGGCTACCTCGGCTTCTAAGTATTGTATTTGCATTAAAGAACACTTTATTTTAAGTACTAGAGCCACTGCCTCGGCAGCACGGCTGCCTCGGCTTCTAAATAGTATGTTATTATGGAAAATCTTGAACTACTGCCTCGGCAGCATGGCTGCCTCGGCTTCTGAATAATGCATTTATATTAAAGAAAACTTGACTTTATATTAAGTACTAGAGCCACTGCCTCGGCAGCACGGCTGCCTCGGCTTCTAAATAGTATGTTATTATGGAAAACCTTGAACCACTGCCTCGGCAGCATGGCTGCCTCGGCTTCTGAATAATGCATTTGTATTAAAGTAAACTTGACTTTATATTAAGTACTAGAACCACTGCCTCGGCAGCACAGCTGCCTCGGTTTCTAAATAATTTAGACTAGTTTAATTGTAATTAAGCGCATCTGAACACGAAATGGATTGATTTTACTTGTTCTTCAATTGAAATTTTGACTCGCCCCATATAAAATTTATGTCGTCTCCCTTTATACATATATATCTATATTAACATAAATGTTGACAGGGAAATAAGGTTCTCACAATGACGATACAGGGTGTGCAGAGTAATAAGATAATAACTTGAAATAAATAGGACAATCTTACGAAGGGGGTCTGTGACGCTCCGTGGCGCAATAACGAGATTGCAACTTCCGCATGGTAAAGAAGAAAGAAGATCTTAAAAAAAAAGGAAGATTGTCTTTCTTTTTGCCAAGGGAGGAGATAGAGACGCCAGCATGCGAAAAATCAACGAGCGCGAGATACTTATTTTAGATAAGTATGTAGCCACCTCGCTGGGAATTCGTATTTTGTAAGGGAGATTGTAGTCGCGATACTCCAAATTTATGTAAAAACATTTAATGTAATCATACATTTAAATCACTTGATTTGAAATAATTTTTTATTTAGCTTTAAATTTTCTAATTCTGCTTCTAAGCGATAACGATTCGTTCTTTTTGGGGTCGGTGAATCATCGTACCCGGAACCTACACACACACACACACCCTCGAAGCAATAAATATACCGAGATTTAAGACCTCTTCTTAGGGTAACGTAGCTGGGTGGTGCCACGGCAGGCGGGCTATGGAAGCCGCTAAGTTATTATATATTTACTTTATGTAAATATCGCCTCCTCCGACGTATGAACTTTAGATTAACGCGAGCTTCAAGAGCCAACAGCGTTGCATTTTACCGGGTAAATTATTAATTGTTTATACCACAATGTTGTATTATAAACTTGGAATCTTTAATTAAAATTAAAAAAAAAAAATAACTGAAAAAAGACTGCTATATTCCGGTGCACAGCTCGAAGGACCGATCGTGACGTCACACAACTATTATTTCACACTCTATTCAGTATGGCTGTATAACCCAACCTCAAAATGTTTCATTAACAATACGGAATACCTATAATACCGTTATTGTCAATTTAGACAAGTTTTCAATGATTACCAATCAATTTTCAATCATTTTGAACAACATGTAACAAGCATCAAACAGTTGTAAACCGTTTAGACAAAGTTTGAATTATTATGAAGTAGTCTTTAATCAATATGGACATCATAGACTAGTTATCAACAAGATATCAACCATTTAGACAAGTTTTCAATGATTTGCAACCAGTATTCAATCATTCTGAACTTTATGGAATATTTATAATCCAGTTATTAACCATTTAGACAAAATACCAATGACCACCAACCAATTTTCAATCATTTTGAACAACATGGAACAAGTATTAAAGAGTTGCGTCTAGGAATAACATTACTGGTCTTTTTTTCTGGCCATTTTGAAGAATAAATATCTTCCAAAATGCTGCCAACATAAAAAGTAGGAGAAAAGGAAACATACTTTACGCAAGCTTTCGATAAGGTTTGGCTCCCTGAGCTTCTGCTAAAGATATGATATCAATCCTGCACGGAGAGATAATCCCATTGAAAAACTACCCAGAAAAATACCTAGGAAATTACTTAGACACTAAATTACGTGAAATTTACATCACAACTTGGACAAAGCAACAGTTGTTGAATTAGATTGGATTGATTGTAATCAATCGTGATGTAGTGGTTGTTCTAATCTTGTGGGATTGAAAATCTTTTTTGCAATTATAAAACATTTCACGTGGTATTAAAACATTTTCGACGCTTGCGCCGTAAACGAATCCAGGACGACACAATTCCTAACCGACTGAAATACTCAGTTCCTGCGAATATTCCTGCAGGATAGCCACGATTCGGCGCCACGTTTTCGCGTCGTTCGAAGCTTTCGCGGATTCGGGAGCGCGTAGCGAGCTTTTTCGGGAATATACGCAAAAGTACCATCGGGCGTTTCATGCAAAAA